CTAACTGCAGTGCAGTATAAATTTCATTTATGAATGGTGACAAACCTCAGGAGTGTTAACTACACCAGAAACTGTCACCAGGAAAAACCAACTGTATCTTCAAATCATATTGCAGGTATTCATCCCTCTTGAAATACTGTTTATACATATCACGATTTTGAAATAAGAATTATTTGGCCTACCACTGGATCTTATTTAATACATTAATAAAGATGTATTACCACATCAAATAGTATTTTGATAGTTTGATAACTATTGTTATTGTTTATAACTATGATGACAGTTTTTCAGAATTAGTTTTCTGCATATCTGCATGTGTTGCCTTGTGCTAAGGGGGTCTAAAGAGGCTCACAGGGGAGTCCCAGGCACAAAAAGTGGCTGAGAATCTCTTAGGTTTCCAGTCTTATGAGGGAACTAGAAGTGTAAAGGGAAATAAAAGCTGCGTGTGGAAGGATGGTCTTGAGTCAGGCTCTTGCTCACGTTTGGAGAGGATCCCTGAGCTGCACCTGGGGTAAAGAGGGGGAAGATGCACATTGATGTTTCTTGGGAAATTATGGATCAGTTCCGGCTCAGAGACTCATGACTGTGTGGCATGCCTGTGTGGCCAGGAGAACACAGTGTGGGGCCCACAGTGCTGAGGGCTGTAAGGATGAATGTGAACCACGTGCTTAGAACTGTGCTTGTGGGCACCGGTTGGGGAGGAGCAGAGTTTGAAAGGACAGATTCAGTAGTATTAGAGAAAATTTAAAAACAGCATTATTGATGTATAAATGACATAGAATAAACCGTACACGCCTTGTAACATGGTATAGACTGAAAACACCACAATGAACGTCCGTATCACACCTCCAAAGCTTCCTAGAGTGCCCCTGCCCCTTCATCCCCAGCAGGTGCTCAGCCATGTCTCCAGGTAGACTAGTGTGCTTTTTCTAGAGTGCTGACTGAGTACAGTTGTGTGTCTCAGGCACCACACACCCGTGGGTCTGTTTCCTTTCACCTGGCAGAAAGAGTTTGCAATTCATTCAGTGCTGCAAATCAGCATTTCATGCCTGTTGGTCTTTTGCCTATATATGTATGTGTTCCTTTGTGTGTGGGCAAACATGTGAGTATGTGCATGCATATATGTGCCTGTGGAGGCCTGAAGTGGACATTGGGTGTCTTTCTTGACTGCTCTCCACTTTAGTGTTAGGGTCTCTCCTTGAACCCAGAGTGCAACAGTTCTGGGATTGTCTAGCTAACTGCTTGCTCGAAGGATTCCCTGTCCCCCTCCAGAGTGTTGGGATTACAGCAGTGTTGGGGATCTCAACTCTGGTCCTCACAGCAATGCAGCAAATGCTTTAACTACTCAGCCATCTCCCCAGCCCCCTGCTTTTTTCTTTTCCTAAGTGTATTTGTTATAAAAGCCATGCACTTTTTTTGGGGGGTCTTTTTGAGACAGGGTCTCCCTGTAGCCCCAGCTGTCCTGGAACTCACTATGTAGACCAGGCTGGCCTTGAACTCACAGAACTCCACCTGCCTCTGCCTCCTGAGTGCTGGGATTAAAGGCGTGCACAACCACGCCCAGCTTTTTAGAAAATATTTTATTATTTTTATTTTGTGTGTATGAGTGTTATTGCCTGCATGTAGGTAAGTGCACCTGTGTCCTGCAATGCCTGTGGAAGACAGAAGAGGCCGTCAGATCCCCTGGAAGTGGAGTTACAGATAGTTGTTAGCTGCCATGTGGGTGCTGGGATTCGAACCCGGGTCTTCTGCAAGAACAACCAGTGTTCTTAACCGCTGAGCCATCTCTGCAGCCCAAAACTGTGCACTTTTAAAAGGGTTTTCCTTTTTAAAAATTAACCCTTGTTTTCATAATACAAAATTTATAAAAGGAGGAGGTTTTTAATGTTTGTCAGAGGAGAAGAGGGGCTAAGAACTGCTGAGAAATGCTGTGCTAGTGTGGCCCGAGTGCATTCCAGCCCAAAAGCCTCTTATGGTTGATGCTAAATGTGACCATATTTGGGAATATTTTGCACCTGGAAGGAGGCAGGGCATCCAAACAACCACTGTGGCCAAATGGCCCTTCGCAACCACAGACTGATGAAAAGACCCTGCCTGATAAAGTGTTTGGAAGGCATTTATGTATCATCTGTTTTCCCTGAACCCTCCTCACTTGCTAGATAAGGGATGGAATTATTTTCCATGTTGCATAAATAGGAAATGAGGTAGACAGTTTGGGGAGAATTGTTACCTAAGATTGCATGAGTCAGAGGCTGTGTGAGCACAAAAGACGCAGATCCCTGATCCTGACCCCAGACTGGCTGTTTGCAGGCCTTGTGGCTTCAGAGAAAATGCAGTGATTTCACTTTCACTTTTGTTCCTGTTTGGTTGTAGTTCAAGTCCTCAGTTTGCAGGAGTAAAGGGCTTCTCTCTCCCTCCCTTCCTTCCTTCCTTCCTTCCTTCCTTC